TAAACGTAAAGTAAAGTAAAGTAAAGTAAACGTAAATAATAAATTAACTTACTTCTCCTACCGTACGTACTACTACTACGTACTAACTAACTAACCTACTCTCTCTCTCTCTCTCTCTCTCTCTCTCTCTCTCTCTCTCTCTCGGCAGGAGCTAGTTATAAGAGAAATAGACCGCGAATAGAGAGAGAGTACTTGCCATTGAAAAAATAGGGTTTCAGAAAAAGTTAGCCGAGAATCCAGAGAGAGAAAGTGGACTCGACTCTTGCTCATTTGTGAAAGAGACTTAGAAGAAGCTGCAGAACCCAAATTGAACTAGAATTACAGTAAACCACTGACGCCAGTGTTTGAAAGAGACTCAGGAGACAAAACCCTAGCTTGTGTCGGGCTCCAACGTTGACAATGGTGCTTGAACTCTACGCAATTCAGAATAAAAGTTTCTCTGCAATCAAACGTCGTTTCAGGGCTCTCTCTCTCTCCCTCTTTCTCTCTCTAGGATTTGGCATCTCCCTCTCTCTCTAGGATTTGGTAGTTCTTCCTCTTCTGACTTTCCATTTCTGGGACTTCCTTTCTCTCTCTGGGATTCGGTGGGCTCCCTTTCTCTCTCTAGGATTTGGTGAGCTCTCTTTCTCTCTCTACAACTTCGAACCTCTCTCTCTCATTCTTTCTGCGCTTTTTCCTGCCGTCGAAAGCGCGCGTGGTATTGAGAATTCAAAATTAAGACTGATTTTCTTTGGCCCGTGTTAAAGGAGAAAAATAGTTGATTCAATTTTGCGCGAACTTTCGGTGGATTTCGCCAAGTTTCGGAACAGGCGTTGACATTCGATCCGGCTGCGCTAATAAAACATGACGAATGTCCGGAATCGGGATCGCTCGGTCCAAAATCCTAAATGGACTTTAGGGGCACGTTTTTTTTGACTTTTTGAGTCAATATCTTTTGGAAATATTTTCCAGTGAAAAATGTTTTTTATATTTTTGTTGGGCAATTATTATACTTTAATTTTCGTCTAATTGGAAAAAAAACTCTTAACTTTCATAATCCTCATCCAAATTTTTTTTTTTCAAATTTTTACCAAAATAGCCTTTACGGTAATCGTATTACCGTAATGACTACTACATTAAGGTACTTTAAGTACCGTAATGACGAGACTAAACATTACGATATTTTAAGTACTGTAGTCACATTAAACACTACAGTATTTTAAGTACTGTAATGATCAGACTAAGTGTTACGGTACTTTAAATATCATAATGCTCAAATTTCTTATAGTTTTCGAATAGTATTTCAGGATTTACGACCTTTTAAGTACTGTAATGACGAGACAAAGCATTACGGTACTTTAAATACCATAATGCTCAAATTTTTAGGCATTTCGATATTCTAAAGACCATAAGCATATTGTAATGCTCAAAATTCAAATTGGTTGAAATTCGACAAAGTACTCTTGAAACTTGCTAAAAAAAAAAAAACAAGGAAATATTTATTACCTCAAATGAGAAGTTGATGAGGTGTGGCAAATGATGGAGAAATAGACGCAGTGAGCATTACAGTATTTAAAGTACCATAATGCTTAATTTGATCATTACAGTATTTAAAGTATTGTAATATGGTAATCATTCCGGTAATACAACTACCGTGTAAGTTATTTTGATAAAAAAAATACCAAAATTGAGGAAAAAAAGTGTGGACGAAGTTTATTAAAGTTGATAGTTTTTTTCCAATTAGGTAAAATTTGAGGTATATTTATGATAATTTTCCTACTTTGTTTGGTGCGCAAGGTATATGATAAAGGGATTGTTTATATGTAAATAAAATGGATTGTCTATAAGAGAAAAGCACATTAAAAGTGAAAGTAAATTGAGAATATTGATTTAACTAAATTTTCATAAAAAAATTTCTCTTTGTATGTTCCATTAAAAAAAGCATAAAGTTTATATATAGTCGAGGTTCTAAACAATCAAATATAGAGACCACCTCAAAAATTTCACTAGAAGAGGTTGTTTTGATGCTCAAATATTCTCTAATTGATCATTTCGACATCAAGAGTTGCATGGACATGAGGAAAAAAAAATGGATTTCAAGTTTTGGAAATAGTGCATCTTGTAACGTATTTTTTGACCGTCGATTTTCAAGTTTTCATAGATTTGCTCAATCTTCACTATTTTTTAAGCTTTAAATTTTATAATTACAGATAAGAATATATTTCAAGGCTTTCACAAAGATTTCATGTATTGAAACTACGTTTCTCGATACTATTTGAAGATGCGCTTTGCTTTGATTGTTTAGAGCCTTGGCTCTATACAAACCGCACCTTTTATCTTTTGTACATGGATGTCACAATCAATCTCATTCATTAAATGTCAAATTAGAAGGCTTGGGGTGAGTCACGCATCAATTTTGAAATTTAAGGGACATCAATTATTGTGACCTCATGTACAAAAGATAAATGGTATCTTTGTAGACAATCCCGTAAATAAATCCCATGGTAAAAGATTTTTAAAAAGTTACATAAGGTTAAGGCCCTAAAAAATCAAATTAAGGCACGCCCCATAAATTCACGGGAAGAAGTTGTTTTGATGCCAAAAAAACCTCAAATCTGATCATCTTGACTTTGAGATATATTGACATAAAAAAAATGGACTTTAAGACTTAGAAACAGTGCATCTTGTAATGTATTATCTAGACCGTTGATTTTTAAGATTTTCAAGTGTTTATAAATCCGCTTGATGTACAATTTTTTTAAAGCTTAAAATTTTTACAATTAGAGATGAAAATAATTTTTTAAGCATTATAAATATTTTCGGTTTTCAAACGATATTTTTTTTTTATTAACTTCGATTTACGGAAACCCTAAATTTCCAAAGTTTTTAATGTTGGAGTATGTAATAGGGTTTATATCAATGGGTTTTAGCTGCACCATTAAGAGCAACTTTAACATATAATTTATTGGTTGGAATCTTACTTTAGAAACTACCACAAAAGTTATGTCTTTTTTTTTATCATTTTTGGAAACTTCCATCTTTTTATGACGAATTGATGTAATTTTATGTTGGATATGGAGATGTGACCCATGACACAGTCACGTTGAGATGAAAGCTCCCTTTTGCAAATAATCTTATGATTTTGGCTCTTTCAAAGAGGTTTCCTCATAAAAAATGAAATTGCGATGCTCATCGATAGCAAAAAATATTCACTAGAAGTGAAATTGTGCCAATTCTTGCTGGATTTTGAAACAAGCATATGCCATAGCTTTTGAATCCTAGGATAATATTTTTGAATCCTTGAAAGCCAAGAATAAGACTTAAGTAATGATTTAGCTCTTAAGTGTTATCAGGATTGGACCACCAAACCGGTGAGGGAGTCCAACTACTGGTTAAACCAGATGGACAATATTTTAGAAAAAATAGAAAAAAAAAATTATAGCTTAAAAAAATATAATGTATTAACAAAAAAAAAGTTTATATTAAGGGTGAGGCCCTAAACAATTAAATTTAGGTGCATCTAAAAAATTCACTATAAGCGGTTGTTTTGATTTTTTATGCTTAAAAATCATCAAGTCGATCATCTTGACCTCAAAGATGCATGGATATTAATAAAAAAAAGATTTCAAGTGTTGGAAATAGTGTATTTTTTTAATGTATTTTATAGACAGTCAACTTTCAAGATTTTCAAGAGTTCATCGATATGCTCGAGCTATACTATTTTTTAAGCTGTCAATTTTATAATTAGAGATGAAAATAAAATTTCAAGTTGTCACAAAGATTTTTAGTATTGAAACAACATCGTTTGACACTATTTGAAGGTGCGCCTTATTTTGATTAATTAGGACCTCATCCTTATATAAACTACACCTATTAAAAAAAAATCCCAACTCCATTTAGTTGATCAAACCAGTCAAAACTGGCTGGTATGACTAGCCAAAATTGATCAAACATATATTTTGACTGTTTTTATCTTAGATCACAATAGGCAACGCACATATTGGCAATTTGACTAGTCAGACAACCGGGTAGCTCTAGTCTTGATAACTATGGTTGGGTGTTCTAAGGTTAGCAACACGAGAGGTTAGACGTAGCTCTTTTTTTATTTTTTTTAGTAAACATGATGATTTCATTAAGATAATGAAGGGTTACAGAAATAAGAGAAAAAAAAAAGGTAACAAAAAACACCAAGGTGCTAGAGCTACCGCTAACTGGAAGTCAATGGGCAGTAGCCCTCTTAGCTAGCAAATCAGCATCAGAGCGACAGTCATGGTGCACATGAAGGAATTTATCCATCACAACACTAAGCCTCCAAGGTATGAGAATTGGATTGAGGCACCACCTAATAATGTTTGTGGAATCCCCTTCAATATCAATTTTGCGGTGCGTCTGATCAAGTCCAAACACACCCATCTTCAAGGCCCAGAGCTCAGCTTCATTAATCTTGCACGAGTGAGCCTACCATAATAGGACCAGATCATGTGACCATTATGATCCCAAAGCAGGCCCCAAAACCAGAGGTTAGCATTGGCTCATGCCTAGGTTCGATCTCTCGTGGCCCTTGGGCCCAAATTATGTGACTTATACCTAGTTTTCCACCATTGTCAGCCCTAATGAAATATCTCTTAGCAGCAGCGAGAATGGTCAACTCCCTGATAATTATAAGAACAACATGAAATGGTCCAATGTATGCGCATTTTGTAATTAGCTCAGAGCTCAAACTTTTGAAATAAGAGCACAAGGTACCAAAACACACCTAAAACTCAAACTTTTCCAAAAATGAAATAAGAACACAAGGTACCAGAACACACAAAACTCAAACTTTTCAAAAAATGATAAGAGTCAACATTTCAACAAATAAATCTAAGGTACAAGATGCCCCTGCTGTCTTCAAGGTATCAAATACTATTGACTTGGATTTCATGAGATGCAATTAAATCATGGAAAAGTATAGAAAAAGCCCAATTACTTTTATTATAAAGAGGTCACAATCACTTTTGTCATCAAATTTCAAGTCGAGTGGTTGTGGGCTGGTTATTGCCCTGATCCAAAGTTCTAATTTTTTTTTTTCTCAAACTTCATGATACACTCCAAACCATCCAATTTGACATCTAATAGCTAAAAATAGTTATGACTTCCTAGTTTGAAACGTAAATGGTCCAATCATCACAATGAGTATACTTTTAGGATGCTCGTATTAACTTTTAGAGAACATTGCCACTGAATAGATTTGCCATCCATGCGGGTTAAGGTTTGAGTCGATTCGGACTCGAAAGGATCCAATTTCATGGAAAATTTTCATAGAAAATGTAGTTTCCCAATTAAGACAATTCGGTAAGTAGTCGAGGCCAATGGGTTTGTCAAATTAAAGTTTCCTTGTGCATAATCAATTTCAAACTGAACCACTATCAGAGAAAGAGAAGAAGGTTTTAAAGAGAGGGATAGGTTGGAGAGAGAGAGAGAGAGTTTTCTCTTAGGAAGAGGGGAAGATTTATTGAGTTTCAAATTTTCAGCCAGTTTCATTTGAGATCAAAATGGTAGGCAAACTACCTAATTAATTTTAATGTAGTTTGTGAAAATTTAGCACATGATCTCCCATTCAATTAGAAAAGAGTGTAGATTCAATTTTTTTTTCAACCATACACTATCTATATTTACAACTGTTTACGAGACTCCAGACCTAAAGGTTGATGGGCTAATATTTAGCCCTTTTATGGGAAAAGTTTTCATTAGGTGCCAAGTTTATACAGTAGAAATAAGGTGCACGTCAAAGATTTATCCAACATCTAAAACCCTGCAATTGATAGTCTTATTAGGTGCCAAGTTTATACGGTAGAAATAAGGTGCACGTCAAAGATTTATCCAACATCTAAAACCCTACAATTGATAGTCTCGGTTACGAGTTGTATGGATAAAAAAAAAGGATTTCAAGTCTTAAACATAATGCATCTTATAAGACATTATCTAAATGTTGTGGTTTCTATAAGGTTGTAACCTTAAACAATCCTACTAAGGCGCACCTCCAAATTTTATAATAACATGTAATTTTGGTTAAAAAATCTGTAGGATTATCTCAAAATCTATTTTTATATCTAATTATAAAATTTTAAACTCCAAAAATAGTTAAAATCAAGTAGATCTATAAACATATGAAATATTGAAAATTGACGGTCCAGATAATGTATTGCAAGATGCACTATTTATGGGACTCAAAATATTTATTTATTTATTTATATTCATACATTTTAATGTTGAGATGATCAATTAGAAGTTTTTTCAACATTAAAACAACTTTTTCCAATGGATTTTTGAGGTGTATTTATAATTCTACATTTTAAAGTTACAACTTTATATAAACTTTCTCCATATCTAAATAACAAATTTTTAAAATTTTCAAAGAGTTTATAGATGCACTCAATTTACACTGCTTTTGGAGTTTTATATTTCATAGGGGTGAAAACGGACATGATGCATGTAATGCAATTTAATACTATATAAAGATATGATTTTCATGAGACCTAAGACTCGTATATAGATATCCATCTCCTATTCACGATCCATTTTTTGATGGATTTTGGACTTAATTTTTTAGGTGTTTATAATCTCTAACATGAAGATCATAAATGTGACAAAAAAAATTAAAATTAAAAATAATAGTTTTTTGATATAAAATGTTAAATCGTTGATTTCACCATATTTTTGGAGATACCACAATTACACACCTGATGCCTAGTGGGCTATAAATGTAGTTTATTTGTCATCCCCTGACGCATAAGCTACTTTGTTGTACTATAATTATCAATATTTGATTATGTTTGCCAAAATTGCCAATACAAATTTACAAAATTTTGAAAATCTATAAACTACCAAAATTGTTTTTGCTCACCATTTCTTGCAATGGCGTCGAAGCATGATCTTCAAAGATGCAGAAAAACTCAACATCTTCATTGCCAATCAAGATCTTTCATCTCGTCCAACAATAAAGATAGGTGCCATGGCACTCCGTGCTCCCATTACACCACTTAATAACGGTGCCATGGCACTCTGTGCTCCCATTACACCACTTAATAACATTGATAGAGTCACCCTCAACCACGAGACGGCCTTCAAACTCTAATAGTTGCTTGAGGCCTTGTAGAGAAGATCTAGCCTCAGCCTCATTCCCTGCACATTCGTAACATACACTCAGAGTATATGAATATCATCGCCGCCATGATAAATTGAGGGGTGGCAACGGGTGTTGGACTCAGACCCGATTGATTGGACGTTACCAAAAAATAAAATATTTAAATAATTTAAATGTGACGTTGAATATATACATATATTATTTAAACATTATAACTAAAAATATATAGTTATATTTATTTAAATATTATACATTAAATATTATTTATATAATGACACTATCCGGACCTATACCCAAATCCATATTGGGTCTGGACTCGAGCCCGGTCCATTGCCACCCCTAGATAAGTTCCCTACCTTGAGATGTTATTTGCCACTTTCTCCACTCATCACTACAACTGTTTCAAGTTCTAGATGGTTTTTTCCATGAGGAAAGCCCATTGTAAAGGTGGAACTAGCATATTTCCCCAAAATTATAAAAGAAATGCATTGCAGTGCGAAGAGTATAATTCTCTACTACGTTTTCTGTGCAACCAAATGCGATCTTATTACTCTTTTTCTTCGCAATGCTCGGAAGTTAGCAAGTTTCCCTTTGAAACACAATTTTTTCAAAAAAATCTCAAATTTTTTAAAATCGGTTAAGAACTCCAAGTTTTTCAAAAGATCTTCAAAAAATTAATTTTTTTTAACGGAACCGATATAAATCCGTATCTTATACTTTATCAGAAAAAAACTTTTCAAAAAAACTTCCTCCCTATATCTTTATTCTTCATTTATTTAATATATTTGAATTTTTGTTTAAGAGAAAAACACATTAAAAGTGAAAGTAAATAAAGAATCTTGATTTAACTAAATTTTCATAAAAAAATTATCTTATATATTCCCCTAAAAAAAGGTGTAATATATTATTCAAAAGATAGTCTATCAAAATAATTATATATCTTAAAATAATAGTTAGATGAAGAGTACCTTAATGAAAAATATTTTTATCCTCTAAACACAAAGCATCATTATAAAGAGTAATAGAAGGATTTAATGAAAACTACAAATTTAGGCAATGAGCTTTGAATATTTAGATTTATTTAAACACTTTGTTGCCTTTTATTTTTTTTTGCGTACAAAAGTTTGATTGATTTCACCTTTTGTTTTTTTTCTAATTTACTAGTGCATATAGCATAACATTGTGGATAAACAACTATTTTACATTTTTGGTTTTTTGTGTTTAGTTAATTGCAATCATATGCTAAAGGTTATTTTCGTTTTTATCTTTCTTCCAACAATAATCATATACCTTGCATTCCGTTCTTGTTGTTTTCTAAGGTAGTTCTTGTGTTTGGTATTGTTTTTGGGAAAAACATCCTCGTACTTTTTATTTTTGGTTTTATCGACATAAAAATTCAAAATATATCTCCTAACCCTTTGACTAAATTTACCCACTTTTAATTATTTTTTCAGCCCTAACAAATATAAAAAATACATGCTCATTCTAAACCCTTCATCTCTCTACGTGATATATTCCCCTTAAATTTCTTTCTAATATTCACTCTCTTTGTTCTTTAATAGGGGAGAGAGAAAGTGAGAGACAAGGGGAGAGAGAGTGGGAAACTAGGTAGAGAGAGATTTAAGAGAAAATCACCTAAAGAAAGAAAAAAGATCGTATTTAGAATGGATATGTCTTTCTTATATTTGTTTGAGATAAAAAAATATATTTAAAAGAAATAAAGTTAGTTTAGGAAGTTAAAATATATAAAACTTAGAATTTTTATGAAACCTTGAATCTATTGATATATAAAACTTAAAAATAGAGGTTATAGAGATATTTTCTTTTGTTTTTGTTGTTATTGATTGTATGCTCTCAATAAATCTATCATATGTTTTGTGTCGTGACAATATAGTAAGCATAATGTTTGTATTTATTGAAAATTTAGAAAAAAAACTTATCAAAGTATGACTGTTATAACACTAAGTTATAAAAACTAAGTAACAACATAAAATTTATAGTTTAATTATTTTAATGTATCCATGCAATAACCGGAACTTATAATCTTAAATTTTGTTAATGTTATATACCTTATTTTTTCACTCTACTTTTTTTAGCCAAATCCGAAATATTCCCTTGACTAATTTTCGGGGCTCTGTATTTTTTACCCGAATTTTCGCCTCTTTTTAAAGCGAAACTTTTTTATTGACCTGAGGAAAATATGGGGAGCATTTCAGTCCTTGAGTGCATTTTGCAAGGCTAGGGTTTTCTGCAACTTCCATCAAATTTACTCAAAATGGGTCCTCCAGAGGATCTTCCACTCATCGAGGTGAACTTCATCTATAAACTGTAATATGCAATGTGTCTCTCTCTGCTTCTTCCCTTATTCTTTGAACTTTAACATGCCCTTTCTCTCTCTCTTACTATATGAACTTAAAATATGTAATCTCTCTCCTGCATATGTGATTAAGTTGTCGGCAATTCGATTTTTTAAACCTCATTCCATTTAAGAATTGCACAACCAGCAAAAATAAGCATTTTTTTTTTGGGTGTTTTTGACTCCATATGCAATAGATGGCATACACATGTTTGGTCTATAGTAATTGGCTAGCTTGTTGTATCAAAGCTTGAAAGTTTTGACCTCTGTTATTGGCAACATAGTTATTAGGGCACATATTTTGTGAGTTTTTGAGCAGTGGGAAGTGCATTTAGCTGTTAGCCTCTGTTACACAAGGGGATTCTGTCAATTCAGTTTATACAACTAGGCCTGCAAGAATTTGTCATGAGAAATTGTGAATACGTCCTTTTAGTAACACGAAGTGTTAGAATATGTGGTTTAATAATTGTCCATTATCGGGATTGGTTTGTGTGGTGAGATTGGCAGTCATTAAAGAGATTCTACAACCGCTTGTATTTGGGCATGGGATAATTTTATTTGGTATTGGGTGAATCTGTTCTATTTGGTTGCTTAATGTTTATAGGAAACCCTATAGACAACCACTGGTACACCAATTTAATCATGGTTCAGTGGTAAGAAAACAGCTTCAACTTTTAATTAATTGAGTTGTGCCGTAGGCACATCTTTAAAGCCTTGATAAGGGAAAACCATGAAAATTATGGGTAATATTCATGTCCAGGTTCTAGATAGAGTTTCCTACTTGGTCTACAATTTTGTTTGGTTTCTCAGAGATTGAGGTGACATGGAATTTTTAAGTTTAAGTTTACTTGCTAGTAATGAACGAACAAGTAGTTCTCTTAAGTTTCAAATTGACCTGTGTTCTGTAGAGCTCTAATGTCATGTCTCAACCATGGGTCATCTTTAGCTTGAACCTATTGTGGGTCATAATTGTAAAAGAAATGACATAGGTGAATCCACAAAAATGTTGTTATGGGTTCAGTGTAACTCCATGCCTATACTCTTGACTATTGTTTGGTTCTTCATAGGTTGACAGAGAAGGTTAAAGCTATGAATATAGGAAACAAAACATATCATTCATATTATGCATTAAATTGGGACCCAATTTCCAGAGAAGAAGTACTGCAAGGTCACCAAATTTGACAGAGTAGTGGACACACTAACTGATTTGATGAGGGAGGTCTTGAAGTTGTCAATTGTTAGAACTCTAACCCATTTCACCATGGACACCAGTCTGGTATCTATCTAGATCCTAGATTAGTAGATAGAGCAATCCTAGTTGTTGTGATGTTCAAATGACATGGATCTTCTTTCACTGGTGATTGGGCTTAATTGTGGAAAATTGAGAACTCATTCTTGAACAATCTGTTGTTTAGTGGATTTTGTGGCCGTGTAGAGTGGGGGAGGACCTAGACTGGTCTACTTGGTTTTTTGCAAACTAGAAAGCGCCCATTTATAATGATGAATGGTATTTGATGTTAGCTCAATTGATAATGGCAACTTGTCACATTGTGGTGTATTTTTATTGATAAGATGCATTGATTAATACTCTATTATTGAACATTATGAGTGGCTTTACATCTTCTAGACTTGCAAAACAAACTCTTATACCATTTAACACTATCAACAATCGATAAACCAAAACCTTTGATGTGTGGCATGAGGCCCTACTTCTGTGAAATCCATGCAGGTTTAAATGCAGCAGCAATCAGGAATGTGATATTAGAGTTATATTACCCCTCACGTGCAGCCTGCTACAGTTTTGGTATTGAGAAAGTATACTGTTATAGTATAGACAAACAGTCTGGGGAAAACATGGGGCATCGCCATCCAATTAGATGATGGACAGCGATGTAGAGAGTGGAACCCACTGTTGGGGCCATCTCCTGTTCTGGTAGGTCCAGTTCTCTCTCCACCACCATCTATTGATTGATTGGAGAGTGATGACCCAATGGACTATGGTTTTCTGTTGTCCAATGGATTCTATTTATTTGGAATTTCTAAATGAGAACTGGTTACATATCATGTTATAAAATTGGAAGTTTCTCCTTAATTCACAACCTCCCTCTTATGTATTTCTTTACTTTATTTCCTGTCAATGACAACCTTTATCTTACTGACTTTTTACCAAAAAACTAATGACTATATTGATGCCTTGATCCACATCTCTAGTGACTGCAATTATTATTATTATTTTTCCAGGAGTCACTCTACCATGCAGTACAAAGGTGAAATCTATGAAAACAAATGGTTTGCAAGATTCTAAAATCTGCTTTTATGAAGGGAGCATCAAAAGTTGCCATTATTCAGCAGCCTCACCATTGTAGTGCTTCTTTTTGCTTGATTTAGAATTCCCATGATAACTTTGCACTGTCCACTTGATGCTAAAGACATTATCCATATGCACCATGTCTTTTTCTTTGGATGTGACTGAGTGCAACCATGGATTGCTTTCAGGTATCATCTCACCTGTAAGACCCACCTTAGGAGATGGTTTTGGATTTTCTTCTGCTCAGGCTATTGTAGAACCACTCACTAAGCTGACAAGGTTTTTACACAAGGACCCTGTATGTTCCTCTAGCATTGCTTCCACTCCAGACATAGAGAAAAAATATGTTCATCGTGTTTATGATGCCATTGCTCCACATTTTAGCTCCACCCGGTTTGCAAAGTGGCCAAAAGTTGCAGAGTTTTTAAATTCATTAACCCCAAGTTCTGTGGTCTTAGACTCAGGGTGTGGAAATGGGAAATACTTGGGTTTCAATCGTGATTGCCTTTTCATAGGCTGCGATATAAGCGCTCCACTAATCAACATTTGTGCAGAGAGGGGTCATGAGGTTATGGTTGCAGATGCTGTTAATCTTCCTTATAGAAGTGGCTTTTTTGATGCAGCCATTTCTATTGCTGTATTGCACCATCTTAGCACTGAAGAAAGGAGGAAAAGGGCTATTTCTGAACTAATAAAATCTGTTCACAAGGGAGGTCAGGTGCTAATTACAGTTTGGGCTGTAGAACAAGAGGATAAGTCATTGCTTAATAAGTGGACTCCTCTTACTGATAAGTATTCTGAAGGCTGGGTTGGGCCAAACTCTCCAAAGGTTCGTAGTTCCTCAAGTACCATCTTAGAGAGCATTCCAGAAACAGAGGATAATTGTCCTAATGATCTTTATAAAATTAGAGAGACAACAACAGAAACACATTGTAAAGACTCTGAAGAGGAAAGGTTGAAGGAGCAAACGAGCAGGGATGATGGTGTTCCGTTACCATTGGAAGACACCATCATGATTTCTAAAAATAGAAGTACTACTAGTACTAGCCAACAAGAGTATTTTGTACCTTGGCATTTACCTTATCATCGGGCTGAAATTAGTGGCACATCTGCAGCTGCACTTGCAAATGGACTGGCAAAGAAGGACGATAAAAAGGGAGCTGTTGTATACAATCGGTATTATCACGTGTTTGTTGAAGGCGAGCTTGAGAGGTAAACTCTTATCAATATTTTGGATGAGTTCCATAAATCATATGATTCAGTTTCAGCTGGCTGTTTATTGTTTTACCACTTCTCACTAACTGGCTGTGTTTTCCAGATGGCTATATCCTTTCGTGCTCTATGCATTTGATGTAAAACCTGCTTAGCATGTTTTTTTTGATAATGTTAACCATGAATTGATAGTGGGAAAAGAAGAGTACAAAAGACCTTGGCGATCCACAGAAAAGGGTGATCAAGGGGAAATAAAATAAGAGGCCAGAACACGTCCTTTTTTAGGAGGTTACAACAGAGTATAGGTCGGTCCGAAGAACAAAAAAGAACAACCCAAAAAAAGTAAAAACCAAAAATCAGTTGTCCGCCATCATAGCTGCTTATTTGGCGAGCGTATTAGCTTCCTGGTTTCCTTCTCTCCAAGTATGCATCCACACGACGGACATATTCCTGCAAAGGTGATGAATCTTGTCAAACACTTACGCGAGGAACCAGGGAGGGATGAATCTTTGCGCCCAAGAGATGGTGTTCTTGGAGTCACCTTCCACCACTAAGGAGTGTAAGTGGAAGGTTGAATGAGTTTTAGGCCTTCCAAAAGTGCGAGGGCTTCGGCTTCCATAGAGTTGGTATGGCCTATGTGTTTGGAAACAGTGGCCAGTGTAGTACCAAGGTGGTCTCTGAGAATGGCTCCTACACCTGATGGGCCCGGGTTTCTGATGGAACAGCCATTGAAATTCAGTTTGAGCTCTCCTGCATTGGGGGGGCTTCCACCTCGTGGTCCTGGACAGACGCATTCTGTTAACTTGGAGGACATTGCTCCAATTGTGAGTGAAAGCTGATGCTGGAATTCGGTTTGAGCTCTCCTGCATTTGAAGCTGATAATGGATGTTACCTCAGGCGGTAATACCCATTGAACGTTGAAGAGCTTGAGGATTGCCCCCTACAGATTGAAGGGAAAGGGACAATGCAACAAAAGGTGATTGTTTGTTTCCTCAGCTGATAGGCACAAGACAATGATTGGGTCAGAATGCCCCTCTCTGCAATTGATCTACTGTGAAGACTCTCTGGGAGAGAACCAACCACAAAGATCTGAATTTTGGGGGGGGGGCGAAGGAGTCCCAGGCTTGAGCGGCTAAGGCCACAGGTGCCATAGGAACAGTGGGGGGACAGAGAAAGGCTGCGATAGAAAGAAGACACCGATAAGAGGCCAAAGGGTGCGGGTGTCCAGATCATGCGATCAGAACCAGTTGGTAGAAGGAAGCAAGCGTGTAGATATGCCGCTAAGGTCGTGAAGCTCTCAAACTTTGAATCATTAAGAGCTTGAATGCTGGGTTTCACGAGCGACAGGAGCCAGTCGAAAGCATTTCATCTGCAATAGTGGCTCCTTGATCTCAGGTCAGAGAGAAAAGGTCTGGGGACCTATCCCTGAGAGGGGCGTGGCCTAACCAAAGGTCTTGCCAGAAACATAATGTGATTCCCTGATCTCCGGTGTAATATGATTCGTGACTTAAAGGCGTGGAAAATTGAGCAGATCGACCTCCAAATACCTGAGGATCTTTGGTTGGTCCTACAGTTTGGTAACCACGGTGTGCTAGGAAGATGATACTTGTGCTCAAGAATATCTATCCATAGCTGATTCCTCTAGTTCGTCATGCGCCAACACCACTTACCAAAGAGGGCTAAATTTTGGGTTTTGAGGTTTTTGATCCCTAATCCTCCCCTTTGCCTCAATTGGCAAAGTTTGTCCCACGCAAGCAAGTGGAATATGTTGCTGGCCCCGTCACCTGACCAGAAAAACCTTTTCATTAACTGTTCGATCCTGGAGCTAACTGCCATATGCATGCGAAATAAAGACATTTGGTAGGTCGGGATGTTAAGTAAAGTGACCTTGATGAGAGTTACCGTCCCTCCCGGGGAAAGGAAATAACGATTCCATCCTGCTAGTTTGCGATCCACTTTATCTATGATATGAGACCACAATCGCAATTTCGGTTTGCCTAAACAGAGGGGCAGACCTAGGTATTTGGATGGCAAAGCTTCGGCCTCGCAACCCCAACTTTCAGCAAAGGTGGATAGGGTTGTTGAATCGACATTTACGCCCATCATCTTGGTTTTGTCGAAATTGACTTTGAAGCCGGTTGCGTAATCGAAGCACCGGAGAAACAAAAATAGGTTGTGAACCTCTTTTGTGGTAGCATCGCAGAATACGAAAGTATCGTCTGCGTACTGGAGGTGGGATACGGTTGGGGCTCGAATACCCATCGAGAAGCCATGCAATCGTTCAGCCAAATACATTATGGACATGGACGTGCTGAAAACCTCCGCCGTGATGGCAAAAAGGAAGGGGAGAGGGGATCCCCCTGTCTGAGGCCTCTAGTAGATGGGAAGTATCCTTTTGGTGAGCCATTAATGATGATAGAGAAATATGGATGAGAGTAACACGCTCTCATCCATCCTCTCCATCTGGAGCCGAATCCCATCCTGGACTGAGATTCTTCTAGGATATCCGAGTTTACGTGGTCGTAGGCCTTCTCCCAGTCTAGCTTTATGACAATTCTAGGGGCTTTGGTCAAATGTCTTGAATGAATACATTCATGGGCCACTAGGGCCCCATCTAGGATTTGACGATCCTTGATGGAAGCACTTTGGGTAGTTGAAATGACTAAGGGAAGGACTTCTTTAAGGCGTCGGCGAGGACTTTGGCTAGTATTTTGTACGTGGAGTTCACCAAGCTAATGGGATGGAAGTCCTTCAGTTGGGTTACCCCTTCTACTTTGGGAATGACAGTGATGAAGGTGGCATTTATAGTCTTATTAATGATACCCCTTGAGTAGAATTCGTCAAATAGTTTGAGGAAGTCCTCTCTGAAAGATCCCCAAAAAACTTTGAACGGAGCAATAGGGTAGCCATCAGGTCCAAGGGCCTTATTAGAATCTAGGTCAGAGATGGCAGCTAGGATTTCAGGTTCAGAGAAAGGTCTCTCTAACCAATTTTGTTTTGTCTTGGGGTAGAACTAGGAACTCAATGTCCCCCATAGGAGGTCGAGGAGTTGGGGGGGCATAGAAGAGGTTATGGAAATAGCCAAGGATGGCTTGTTCAATATCGGGAGGTTGGTCCAGAAGGTTGCCATCTACAAAAGGTGTGTGATTGAATTGTCTCTGCGCCTGCAATTGGTTGTCTTATGGAAGAATCCAGTGTTGAGGTCCTTTGCCTTAAGCCACTTAATCCTGGATCTCTGATACCAAAAGATTTCCTCTTACTTTAAGATGGCTTGATATTGGAGCTTTAGATAATATCTGAGAGTGGATTCCTAAACCGAGAGGGATCTGGATTCTTCTAGCGAGTCAAGAGTTTGTATGGCTTGTAGAGAGGCAGATTTTTGAGGTCCTAAAAACCGCAGTAGTCTCCTACGTCAGGATTTTAAGTGAGGCTTAAATAATTGCAGTTTTCATTATAGTTTGAAGCCAGCCCAGCCATCTATCAAATTCGATAGAGTGGACCACCATTCAGGAAATAGGTTGAACATCGACTGTTCTTCTAACCAAGCCAGTTCAAATCTGAAGGGTTTGGGTCCAGACTCTACCGGCTTGGAGTCCAGAAGTATGGGACAGTGGTCGGAGGTAGGTTTGGGGAGTGCCAAAGAGTGGGTCCCAGGAAAATTTGAGTCCCAGTCTATAGAGATTAGGAATCAATCAAGCTTTGAGAGGGTGGGGTGAAGAGTGGCTGGACCAGGTGAACTAGGCTCCTTGACATGGGAGGTCAAGCAAGTTGTTGAAGGCGATGAAGTCAGAGAAAGCTAACATAGCCGGGGTGATTCTGGTTGAGGTGTTTCTCTCATGGGACCACCTTGTAACGTTGAAATCGCCCTCTATGCACCAGATGGGATTGGGTAGAGTGGCAACCTGTTTGAGTTCTTCCCACAGAAGAAGGCGGTCATTGTCCGAGTTGGGTTCATAGACCGTAGTAAATTTCCAGGGTAGGCAATCAGGGATCCTAGAAAGCTGGATGGTAACAGATAATTTGGAAGCTTGGTGGGATGATAAGGAGTGTTCTGTGAGGTCCCAAATGACCCATATTCCTCTCGATGCCCCTTCAGCTGGGAATGCGACCCATTGACAGTGTCTGCACCCCAAAACTTGTCTCATCTGAATCAAAGTAGTCTCAGGGGGTTTCGTCTTTGTGAGAGCCAGGATGGTGGGTTTAAGCCTAAAACAATGGTCCCTGACTGCCTGCTTTTTGTGTGGCAATCCAAGCCCTTTGATATTCCAAGAGAGTATCAGCATTGAGGTGAGGAGGTCAGTGGAGAGTTCCTGCGGGACCGCCTAACCAAAAGACTAGTGGGGTGATCTTTAGGCAGGATAGAGGAGAGGGAGAGATTGGATGAAGAAAGTCTATCTGGTCCAGATTGTGGGAAGCCTATCACTCTCAGGATGTCCCGGATTTGTCCTTGGCCCTCGTCGACACCATTGACAAAGTTGGAGTCCACTGAGGGGGGGGAGAGAGGATCTCCCATGGTGTCCACTGAAAGGGACGATCCTGATCCATGGAGGACGGGACAGGGGAAGGTAGTGCCGGGAGTACCGGAAAGTGGAGCCCGTCTTCTTTGGTGGGTCCGAAAATTCCTGCAGATAGACTGAAAAGGTCCTCGGTTGAGGTGGAAGCTGTTTTATCTAAAGAGAGCGGTGGGATTAACAGTTGGTCTGAAATGAGGTTAGGGGAGTAGAAGATGGGGTGGGGGGATTAGCGGAAGTGGGGTTAAGACGAGGAGAAAGAGAGGGCAGAGGCTCTAAGGGTGGGTCTGTTCCAAGGTTGGAAATGGGGGAAAGAGTGGTAGGTTGAGGGTCAGGTTGAGGGCCATGAGGAACAGGTGCCAGAAAGAAATTGTGTTGAAGAGTGTTGGGGTGGGGAAAGGCTAGGTTACTTGGGGGCTTGGGTTGGTAAGGGGAAAAGGTGGTTGAGAAATTAAGCAGAAGTAGATTAGCAAAAGGTTCAAAGAAGGT